ATCCCAAATGCACGACAAATACGCACTGTAAGTGACTTAACTGTCAAATAAGACAAGGCCAAGAAAGCAAACTCACACACTTGTGGTATTAGATGCTCTTAATGTATTTACTCAAGCACCATATAATGAGGCAGCATTATATTATATTAAGTAGCCAGAAAAGTCAACAGCATTTATTTCATTACTATTTTCGTATTATTATATAAAAAGATATTCTATTTACTACATTTACTATCCAGAAAAGTCAACTGCATTAAATGTCATTACTATTTTGGTATTATAATATTTTATTTATTTAATTAATTTATTTATTTGTTCTATTTTAAAAAGGTAAGTATAATAAAAAGATTTTAACAATAAAAAAATCAAATACTAAATAAAAATATACACTTTGACTTATTTGATTATATTTGGTATTTGATTATACCAAATATATTCCTATTTAGTATATACATTAAATACTTACTAAAGTATTTATTTGTTTTATTTGTCAAAGTTAAGTATAGATTTGTTTATATTATCAAATCATAAAAAAATATTAAATCCATATTGTGAAAAAAAAAAATCATATAATTTTATAACAATTCTACTAAGCTATTTAACAATATTTCTTTTTGATTATATAGTAAAATAATAACTAAATATTATATGATGAACAACAATAAGTAAAACTGTTACTTTCTCTTATATCAAAGGATAAATTTATTATAAAAAAAAAAAGAAAAAAAAAACTACAATGAAAAAAGCAAGTCAGCTATATATCGATTTGTTGTACTCTTCAAATCACATTCACAATTTGGCTACAAGAAAAGGAAACTCATTGATTAAAATATTATTTTGTCAGTAGTCTTAATGTACAAGAGACTTTAAGACTCCACTTGAATATTATAAAACTTTTATTGAACATTGTACAATTTCTTGCGTATTATAAACTTTTATTGAATATTGCATCTTATAATATAATATTCTCCAAATAAATATATCTCGTGCTTTGCACGAATCACGTACTATATATATCCCGTACATTTTTCTTTATTCATGTATATAATTATAAGTCTGGATAAATAGCCTTAAAATTGTGCACCCCGTGCATCGCACGGGCTCTGTACTAGTTTTAAATGATCACTTGTAGAAATTGCGGTTCATTATTTAGGTAAGTATTTAAGCCATATTTTAAAATACCTTAATTACTCAAATCATGTGAATTAATTAATATATGGTATAAAGTGGATGAATTTTTTTTTTTTGGTATTGATGGTTGTTTATATGAGAAATAAATTAATCAATATATGGTATAAAGTGAGCAAATTTATTTAGGTTATTTGATTACTATTTTTTAGCTCTGTTCTAAAATGCGTTGCCCGGCCGCCTCCGATTTACGTAAATCGGTTGAAAAAATCGGCCAGGCCGCTAGGCGGCGCCTAGACGGATCTAGACGAACCTAGGCGCTCCTAGGCGGGCTTGGCGGGCTCGGCGGCCAGGCTGCTTGACGCGCCTAGGTGGGTCTAGGCGGACCTAGGCGCCACCTAGGCGGGCTCGGCGGAAATTTTTCATTAATTTTTTTTTAAATACTAATTACATTATTTTGTAATTATGTTTTCTTTATAGTATACTGATATTATTATTTAGACTTAGTTATGTTGATTTATTATAAGTTGAGATAATTTTATTTTGTAGGTAATGAAAAAAAAAAAGGCATCTAATCTTGATTTCTAGGCCCCGTCTAGGCGCTAGGTGCTGGTCGAGCGCCTAGCGACTTCTAGAACACTGTTTTTTTAGTAGGAAATTTGTTGAAAAATTAATCGTACGTTTTTCTGTAATGCCAGACTAATATATTGATTTTTAGGTGTGAGTTTCAATTTTTATTTCAATTTTTCGTGTGAAAGTAACATAATAAAATTATCATAACACCGACAAAGTAATATGAACGGATAATTTGATATAATGTGCGTTTGATGTTATTTCATTGAATAAGCGGGTCTCGATTTAATTCATTTTTTGTTACCACATTTCAAATATTTTTTGTGTGAAATACACTGTTAATTTTTTTAGCATGATAAAGAGTATCGATTTTTTTGGTATAAAAAATATTATGATTGATTGTTTTTACTCAACTAATTTATACAGATATAAATTCATTTTAATTAATGAGATAATAGAAATTTTATATTTATGCTTATTATTCACATAAATTTGTAAATATATGATATAATTTTATCAAAATAATTATTATATGGAATCACGTTATAGTCATATCGAATTTTTGAATAAAGATTTTAAAATGCCACATATTTTGAAACGGATATAATTTTTAATGTATTATCAGTTATGCATAACGCACGAGTTGTGTACTAATTTTGAATAGACGTTTTTATGTAATTTTTTCATAATTAAATTTTATATAATATTTTCAATAAATTAATATATGTACATTGTATTATATATTGATTCCATTTTTTAATCTACAAATATCATTTAATGAGAATTTTTAATTTATAAATATTAATTAATATTTCTTACTCGTGCATCGCACGGAATTCGCACTAGTATATATAAATACAAAGAAAATATTTTTACAATTGACTACTTGATAAATTATATAAAAATCAACATATACTTGGATGATACCCATCCAATACTTTTGTTTTTCAGAGTTTCTTGTTAGTCGGCTTTTTCTTTCTCTTTCCACCAAGTTTACTACACAATTTTAGAATTTCTAAAAGTTCTTAGAGTCTTAGAGATGGTATAATAAATTGAGGTTGTGGATGGAGTCTTAGAGATGGTATATTAAATTGAGGTTGTGAATGAAATTAAGCGGATTGACCTCATCTCTCAAATTTGTATATATATATACGTTTATTTGTAATATCTCCTAAGTTTTTTCGAATGATAGTAGTTTTAAGATTAATAGTATGAAAACATAAGTTTAATTAATATTTTAATCAATATAACATGAAATATTCTTGATAGATTTGGTTAAAACAAATTTTTATTAAGAACCGGTGTTTGTAAGAATGGATAATGAACATAGTTCTTCTCATCCATTCTTCTTCCTTGGAATCAATAAATCAATCAAATTCCGGTACTTCATTTTTAAGTAATAAAGACAACATAATTTATTAAAATTTATACCGTTTGTACTTCATTTTTAAGTAATAAAGACAACATAATTTATTAAAATTTATATCATTCTTGTTATATGGTATGTCATTTAAGATTCATGTATATATATATATTCAATATCACTTATTTAAAAATTTAATGAAAAGATAAAGTAAATTAAAATTTCCCTCAAATTCGATTGCATAATAAATTCAAACAAAAGATGGAAATGTTGTAATAAACTAAAAAAGTCGGAAGAGACTCAAATCATGTTCAAGCATATAACTTACAGATCAAAAAAAGAAAAATATTTTGGATCAAAGCGGGCTAATATATGAAATCGACTAAAATATTTTTTATTAATATGAATTAAGACCAGGCTGGAGCCTACCCACCCATTGAGTGGCTCAGCATTTTAAGTATAAATTTGAGTAGTGTGATTATATATAAGATAAATTTGAGTAGTGTTATATCTTTATATACTCGTAAAATAAATCTGAGCAATGTGATTATTTATAAAATAAACTTGAGGTCCTGAGGATTGTTATATCTTTATATACTCCTCCTAAATAAAATAAATTTGAGCTGTGATTGTTTGTAAAATAAATTTGAGTAGTGAGATATTTCCTATTATACTTTCTTAATGAAAAATATACTTATATGATAAATTATTATATTATTATTTACACTGTCTTCAAGCATTCCCGTTTAGACCGTTTTATTTCATAAAGGAACATGGTGATTAAATGATTGGAAATTAAGTTATTGCAGCTTGACATGTTACTGTTTTATTTCATAGATAAAATTATTGGAAATTAAATTGCTGCAGCTTGACATGTTAATTAATTTTGAAATGCCAAAACAAAAAATTAAAAAGAAAAGAAAAAAAAAATAAGAGCTGACTTTATTTGCATATAGATTGTTGTAGGTCATTCTCCCAAATTCTTTTCTTTTTTTTTTCCAACTCCGGTGGCTCCTAAATTCTCACAAAGTCGTTTCGCATTTCTGTAAATTCACACACGCATTTTTTCTGAAATGATACTAATAATTTATTTTAAATTATAATTTGGTATATGAGTAGCAAATAATTAAACGGACTAAATTTGAGTGTTTAAATTATATTAAAGGGGAGATGGGTTTTATTAATATATGATATTGGTAACAACAAATCTTAATTGACCAATATTTAAATCACTCATTAGAGCTATTTTTTTTAGACAACTTATAGGTAAATATTCCTCACTAGGATTATAAAATTAGATCTATCATTTTTATTTTTTTAGACAACTTATACGTGAATTTTTTTTTTTTAGACAACTTACATGTGAATATTACAACACGTCCTCACTTGTGAGTTCTTCCTTCATACTCAACGCATGCTAGTAAATTAAGTCACCACAAGTCTTGATAGTGCTTAGTCCTTTATATCTACTCTCAAGCCCATAAGCAAGCCAATATAGTCATCACTAGTCCCAAATCTTGGATCTCTATACTAAAAGAGGTATACTACTATATTAGATAATATTTTAATGATATCTTATCAAGATTATAGTTAATTTTATTATATTTATGTTAGTATTTATTTCTTGTCGGGAAAGTTTATATCTCATAGAGTTGAAAAACATCTTTAGAGAACGAGCCTAGGTGTTACCTAATTTAAGTTTCATCCCAAAATCAATTGATAATAATAAGAGAGTAACTCATTGGACTTGTAAACTAAGACACAATTTCCCTAATTAATCCATATGTGACAACTCACCAAGTGGATATTCCAACTGTCCAATTACAAGACTATCCCTTAAGCCATTAGCCTCATGATAGATAATGATAGAAAACTTCTATGCCTAATTACAGTCAACTATTTGTTAAATACAAACACCAATGGAACTATGTGTAACCTTTTGTTCATAAAGCAATTATAATTAAAGCTAAAAACCTCTTAGTTCTTGTGATTGTCTAGAATGATATCATGATAATAACCTATCTTCCTCAAAGTCATTCTGCACTCAAGTCAATAGAAACACAAATACGTAACTCCCAATCAAATTCATGATCAAAAGAACCGGAACAAATTCGGTAAACATATCCCCAAATGCGCAACAAGTACGCAATGCAAGTTAACAGTCAAATAAGAAAAGAAGACCAAGAAAGCAAAATCACACTTGTGGTACTAGAATGCTGTCTGTAAAAAAAGAAAAGGCCAGCAAAATAATAAGCATCAAATTTCGCATGGTATAAAACTTATACGGACATGGCCATGATCTGACGAGCAAGACCAGGGTCCTGTTGTAAAAGCTCCCGCAGGTTGTTCTCAATCTCGGCCATTTGTTTCTCCAAGTACTCCTTTGATGTCTGTTCAAATGAAAACAACCACATGTCAGTTACCAAGCAAAGCTGATTTAGACTGTGTTTTACTTTGAAATACATTTTGTGCATAGTTTTATATACAACATATGTACAAACAAAAATCTATATATGATCCTAAAACCACCGTCTGATCACCATTGGGATGTTGTGAACTGTTAGTGACAGGCAGCAATTCCAAATCAGTAGTCACAATGGATATCAGCAACAAGAAGTAAAAATTAAGTTGCAAAAACTACCCTTGAAGTTAAGTCTGGTCTCAAAATAATCAGTTATCTATCCACAAAAGCCACTTGAAGTTTGTTAATGTACTTGCTCAAGCACCATATCAAGTAAACTAGGAATGAGGCAGTAACTGTAATTCTAACCAGTTGGTTGGTCGGGCTTTGGTTAATCAAACTTAACCTTGAACATATACTTTTGTAACCCAAATAATGATACCCACATCTTCAAGAAATTGCGAAAATGAAGTGGAAAGAGAAGAACACAGAAGATGAAAGCCAAGGAGAAATGATGGGTTGTGCCAGATGGGGCCGCATTAATGGAACCCCAGCTCCAGTCAATGAGTTTAAGGATTAGTCTGTTTTGCATTTCTAGAATATTAGATAAGGATTAGGAAATAAATGGATAATAAATTGATTTATTGCCAGGCATCATATTTAAGTAACCATTGGTATCTTAAAAAGGAAGGTGATAACCATGGGGAAGTGGTTGTTTCTTGCTCTTTGTAAAGCACGTCAATGAAAAGCATAATGAGATGGGCCAATTTCGAGGACAAAGTTATTTGGCGTACATTGATTCAAGGGATACGACATGACAAAGTTATGTCAAACAAGAATTTACAATCACAGGAAATTGAGATGAATGGGGTAACTTGTTTAACTAACCAAGCATTAAATCATCAGCACATCACGGATTTGCAAGTAATTGACATACAAATGTAGAAATCAGCCATTGAAATCCGAAAGGCCAGTGCAGGCATTCTAACCGCAATAAGGTTCTAATTCTCATCTAGAAGGTACAATTACTCTTCAAATTCTTAATATGCGATCTTTTTCCATAATTTGTTCAGCAACCTAAAAGAATTCGAGGGAGAACTAAAATCAATTACAACAGTTGGCACTTGGCAGATAATTCTTTGGAACAACACAATAAAAAAATGGCAGATAGAGAGAGAATAATTCTTTGGACCAACACAACAGTTGCCTGGAATCCCGAACCCATCGCCAAGGCCCGAAATTTCAACTTACAACTAAGAGCACCATCCACAATCTGAAGAAAAAAAAAAAATACACTTTGCAATCACAAAAGCTAAGAGCTTAATCATACCTGCAGAGAGGAAATAGCAGCTTCACTATCCTTGAACTTCTGTTGTTGTTCTTCCATCAAAACTGACTTGGGTTCTAATATAAACCTGTTCACACAATCTTTCAACTCAGTTAACTCACAACCATATATAATACATATATTAAGCTACTGTTACGCCTACCTAATGGTTAGGCAACCATAAATACTTTCAAATTGAAATATCATACTCCATAAAACATGAAAAAAAAGCATGACATTTCACAACATAAAGTATGCATTTTTGTTATAAAAGACCGTGACGGGTCGACTTGCCCAACAGTACGTATAGAATCGGTTATAACCAACTCCTTCAAACTATAATAACTGATATGCAACGAAAATATGAATATGTGCATTTCAAAGACTAACGTCCTGCCAATGGATTTATAGGTATTTGTATCTTCTGCCAGTTGCTTGAGCTCCTCCAACGTTAAATAAGCACGTTTCTTGTCCCCTTCTTTATTTCGCAGCTGAGTCTGAACCTATGGACAAAAGGCGCATAAAAGAAGTAAATTAAAAGAAAAAAAAAAAAGATGGATAACAGATTGTTGTCTTTTCTTCTTCGATTAAAACAAATTTCTGCAATTCGAACTTCAAAGACACTGACCTGCTTCAATTTCCCTGTTGTCTCGATCATGCGACCTTGGATTTCTAGAAATGCCTAAGAAATTAAATTAAACAAACAATATTTCAGAAAATAAGAAAAGAAGCAAAAACAAAAAAGATAACAAAATGAAATTTGGGGGTTTAATTGAGAAGGGTAATTGGAGTGCTTACAGTTCTGACAGCTTCGTCAGCCATTGTTTTGCCTTTTTCCTTATTTTCTGCCTCGATTGATTTTTCTTCAGTGAGAAAGCTTGAAAATAGCTGAACACGAACCTGAGCCCTGATGAGCAATGTATTCCTACTTTCCACTACAATTTTGAATTTGATTGTATTTGGGCTGTTAATGGGTTATGGCTAGAGGGCCTGTTAGGGTATTGGGCCACACCCAAAAAATAAAGGGGAATTTTCGGTTATCCTACACGATTATTAAAAAATTGTAAAATTACCATTCATACACAATTAATTGTGTATATATCTAATAGACAACAATTAATTACATTAATGCCTACAAATCAGTTACAGATTTCCATTCATGCAGCAAATCCATAAAGACCCAAGATTCACGCAGCAAGCCGTCCGCATCCGGAAAAAATCCCTCAGAAAGTTCCCAAAAATCTGTCACTTTCCTCAGCAAGAAGTAGAGCCGCCAGTTTTCCGGCGACGAGAAGGACGTGCGCGCCGACGATCCACGAGCACTAGAAATCCCAATTCGAGTGCTTGTTGCTTCTATCGGGATTCTTCGAGCTTGCCGTGAAATTCGGCTGCCCACCGAAAGCACCGCCGACCAACGGATCGTCAATGGATCGACAATCGGAGGGCGCGGACCTCGTCGGATTGGATTTTCCATGGGCCCCGAGCCCGAAATCTTGGGACATCACGTCTAGATCATCCATCAGGCAAGACCAATCGACGACTCAATCTGCAGAACCAGATCCAATTTGAGCAAAATACAACTTCCAGACGGGCGATTGGGTGAATCCAAAAATCGATCAAAAAATTGGGTGCTAGAATATGGGGAGATGATGGCCGGTGGTAGTGTTGAGACATGGAAATTTGAAATGCAGGGACTGTAATTTTGATTTAGGATATACAGTTTTCTCTCTCTAGACAAGATGGAACGTCCCTGTGTCCATGTTCTCTCTGTTGCTATTATTGTTTTTACTTATTATTTTACCTTTACCAAATTAATAAAGCAATTAAATCGATGATCTTGAGTGTATATCTTAAGTATATTTTATGTATATATGGGTTCTAAAATCGATTTTGAGAAACACTTGAAACTCGAGTGTATATTTAAAGTATATTTTATGTATATGTGTAATTTGATATATCGCTGTCTTGAATTACTAGAATCTCGAGTGTATATTTATGTATATTTTATGTATATTATATGAGTGTTGTACAACTTTTGTATATACTGTATATACCCACAACATGTACTGATGGTAACATATAAATCATGCAACATGTAAATTTTCGTATCTGATGGAAAAATATAAATCATGTACTGAACAGTGAGTATATGTTGCGTTTATTTAGTATATATATTCAGTATATGTTACAATGAAAAACATGTTTTCAATCATTTTTTTTTTTTTTTACTTTTATACATAAAAGGATATATATAGTTTATAAACATATTGTAACAGGTTACTTATATTCCCTATACCAACATATCTTCTAATATACTGAATATATATTCCCTGTACACACAACATATACCGAACAATTTACAAAAAATTCTTCTAATATACTGAACATATACTCCCTATACACACCACATATACTGCTTGTCTATACACGCAACATCCAATAAATACTGCCGTAAACATATACTGTATATATACTGTAGATATATTGTACATATACTCTAAAATAAACCCAAAAAACAAAGGCTACCAAAAAATTCTTCATGAATAATAAATTCAACCAAATCAAATTACAATAACTTCATCTGCACCACCTCCTAGAAATTAGCAAACTAATAATCAATCAATGGCAAGCTCCACGAACATGTCCCCAGTGAACATGCGAGGCCTGCAACCACGACGAATTGCCGTCGGCGTCCGTTCACCACCTGTCATCGCCGCCCTCGAACAACACCTACCTGTTTAATTCAAATACAATATGAAACTCACAAGCCCATAAAAACAATATGAAAACCAAGCAAATATGATAATTCAAATACAAAGAATTAATCAAATCCTAAATCAGACGAAAAAACCAATGCAGAACCCATATTCAAAAGAAGCAATAATGATCAAACCACCACGGAAACCCTCCGTCACCGCTGCGGGACCGAGCCTCATTCACGGTGATGTTCCGCCCGTCGAGCTCCTGGCCATTCATGGCGTCGATCGCGTCCCTCATCTCCTTTTTGTCGCCGAAAGTAACGAATCTGAAACCTCTTGATCTACTAGTCTCCCGATCGATCATGATCTGAAATTCCCACAAACAAAAAAATTGCGAACAAGAAAATCTTTAATGTGCAAATAATGTGCATCTTTAACGGTTAAAAGGTAATGTGCAGATAATGTGCAATTCCTACTTTTTAAGTAAGTAGATCTTTAATTTCTATTAAATATCTCATTAGCATTTAATGTGCTGATAAAAAAGTAATAACGGTTAAACAATGTATGTTAGGTATAATTAGAATATTTTTAGCTTCTTTAGGTAATTTTATAAATAAAAATATAAGGGGTACAAAAGTGTTATATAAATTAAATATATTAGTATGGGATGTAAATTCCTCAAAAATAAATGAATTGGCCATTGATTTATGGATTTTATTTTTTTTTTGTTTTTTTAGTGAATATGGTACATGGCAGTTGAGGGTGTGAGTGAGAAAATCAATTTTTTTTTGTTAGGAGAATATCACTCTTCCTGATAATCATGCAAGTAGATAACTACCATCTTAATTAAAATTTTCCTTAATGAAATAAATATTTTGTATTTTTTATTAAAATATACTCAATTCGTATTGTTAATATTCTTTAGCAAAGTAACTGTAAGGGGAGTAAATTCTCTATTAACAAGTTGTTCGTCAGTTGGACTCGGCTCGGTTCAATATGGTTCAATATCGTTTATATTTCAGTTCGTTAATGCTCAAAAATATAATTTCTTATGTTATTTTAAGTAATTCGGCTCATTAATGTTGATAGACAAATCGAGCTTGAACTATGTGACTTTTCGTATTTATTTTTCTTGTTATTCTTTTTTTTCTTTTTAAACAATCCGTCTATAATTGGAAAAATGAAGAATTATGGAATGTTTTGGAAGTATGGACAAGTAGGAAATTAAAATGTGAAAATAGTTAGGCTGTGATTGGTGTATATATATAACTGGTAGCCTTAAAGGTATGAATTGGTTGATGGTATTAAGGAACTTTGCAATCAATAAAGGCTCATGCAATTTAAGTTGCATGCAGACATGCAGTAAATAAGAGTTAAATGGTGAGGTCTTTTCTCTATATACCTTGGCTTTTAACTTCATTTGAGCTTTTAACTTCATTTAACCCATGCTTTTGGTAAGTTGTATAGTAATCTTTCTACATATATATTGTCCATCTCTTAGCCTAGACAGTTGTGATGTAGAATAAATGTAAAGGTTTTTACTTTCTACAAATCAATCTACTATATTCTCATATATATATATATATATATATATATATATATATGCATATATTAATTTGATATATTGTATATGGATGGAGTTTAGCATAACAAACAACTCGAATTTGATCAATCTTTGTTCCAATCAATCTGAAAAACTAACTCTAGTATTTTGGCTCGATTCAAAATTTCGTTCCTTCATTTCCTCATAGAAGCCAAGAATCACTTTTCTCTACAGTTTTCTTCTATTAAGGGTATTTTCATGTCTAACTTCAAGATCTTCACACCTTGTTGAGGCATTTTATTATCTTTCAATATGATATAGCCCCCTGCTCGGGTGTTCCGAGCTAGTCAAGTCAGGTAGCTCGGTTAGTTTGGTCTGACAGCTCGGCCCTAAGGATAGGATCAACAAGCTTCTGGATATAACGAAGGTCATCTCGATGAACCAACGAATTGATACCTTTGTTTTTTTAATAGGTCCAGACCTTGAATTGCAGCAGACGTGCATTCGACACACCTGCACTTAACAAGCTTTACTAGACGAACAATAAAAGTTATGTACATCAATTATCGGTTTTGTAGGTATACTATATTCATAAAAAGCCATCTTTCGAGTTGATTGCAGTTATAATAAATGTCCACATTTTCTTGGTTTTTCACTATAGGTACAATCTCTGCATAAATAGTTCAATTAGGTCAAGAACAAAATTCACAAATCAGAGAAAAACAAAAGGCTAAATAAAAATCCTGCATTTTTCACTCAGAGCATACATACTCAAAGCCCCATTAAAAAACCTTAGCCATCTCATGGTACAAAAAGTAAGCAAATGCTCTCGCTGCAAAAGAAAACAAGAAACGAAATCGCAAAAAGAAAATAAAGCTAAATTCAATCCAAGTCCATCTCAACATATCGACACAAATCCCAATGCAATTCAATCTTCACCGCACATCTGATACCGATCTCTCGATCTGCAAATTCTCTGAAGAGGGCTCATAAAGGTCACACTCCTTTGGAGGTTCGCTTTTGCTCCTTCCATTACCCTGCTTATTATTACAACTAATATTATTATTATCCTTCACATGCTCAGGCCCGCTATCACAACTCATAGTATTGTGGCCTTTCGGGACCTCGTAAAGCGTCACGGACCCACCTCCGCTAGGTGGGTCCACGTCCTCGAGCCGCAGCTCGTGAGCCACCAATGGCTCGAGTATATCGATGACCTGGCGCATTGTGGGCCTTCCCTTTGGGTTCTGGCTAAGGCATTGGTAGGCCAAATTTGCAACTTTCATGAGGATCTTGGTCGAGTACTGGCCCTCGATCCTTGGGTCCAGTATTTTGATGAGCTTCTTGGTGTGGTTGAGGAGTGGGCGGGCCCACTCGACGAGGTTGTGCTCGCGGCTGGGCCTGCTCTTGTCCATGGCCCGTCTCCCGATGAGCATCTCGAGCAGGACAACTCCGTAGCCGTACACGTCACTCCTAGCCGTCAGATGACCTGAATAGAAAACGACAATTCAATAATAACTTCATACTAAAAAATTTAACTCAACTTTAACTCAACTCCATTATCCTCAATATTCAGGGGCGGATCTGGAAATTTTCTTTAGTGGGGGCTTAAAACTATTTTCGAGAGGTGGCAAGATAGTCTAAAAGGAAAATGTAAATTTTATTTTTTTAAAATTCTTTTATTTTAAGAAATAGATTATGATTTTTAAACTCAAAAATATAATTTTAAGTGCTTTATACTCAAAATACTTTACAAACTAAAATTTATTATCCAATCTCTTATAAGTGCGATAGAACATAAACCTCATAATATATTTTAGAGATAAAAACTAAATTATAATCATAATGTTGTTACCGTATTTATAAAAATGTATTGGATCGAATTGGTTGTAGCTTAAATCAATCAATTGATCATTTTGATTCGAACCGGTAAAAAATGCTCAAAATTGTCCAATTGGATGGATTCTTTCCTTTTCTTTTGAAAAAATAAGTTTCGCTAGTTTAAGTATATTTTTTAAATAAATAAAAATAGTTATTTAAATATTGAATATCTACAAATTATTATAGTGATTGGGTTAGAAATTTGAATCTATATATATATAATTGCTAGTTAAGCAATAAATTTTACCTAATAAATAAAACCTAATAAATTTTACCTATGTGGCAAATCATTAATAAAACCTAATAAAGAAAACCTAATAAATTTTATTTATGTGGCATTAATACACCCCATCTCATTAATAAGAAAATATTTCATTACATTTTTTTGGGTTAATTAAGACAAAAACCATTATATTTTATGTTAATTGATTAATAATTATATTTTTTATTGAATAATATAATAGTTAATATTAAAATTAGTAATTATATTTTATACTAAATAATATATGAAAGTTACATAAAATTATATTTTACACTAAAATCAATATTTTTTTATATGATGAAGCAGTTGTTTATTAATACATTAATTTTTTTTATGTCATAGTAAAATTTCTAAAATCACATAAGTAATTGCTATAATAAATGTAATATTTTTCAGCTAATTAATTGGTCATGGTCACTCAAAATTATAAAAAGTATATATTTATTACATTTTATGCAATCAATATAGTGATTCGTAAACAATCAAATCGTGTGTACTATTTATTTTAACCAATGATCAAATTTTAAAATATAATAGTATCATATGATTTATAATTTTAATATTATATACATAAATATAACTTATAATACTATAAGTTTGAAATATAATACAATTATATAACTTATAATTATTATATTATATACATAAATATAACTTATAATATTTAATTTTATTTATATCTGTGCAAATGCACAGAGTCGAATACTAGTATTTTAAATTGTCAAAATGTTTAATTAAGAATAATTTTACATAAAAAAGTAATTACTAGCTGATACATTTAATAAAACCTATTTTCATTTCCCTCCAAAAGGAATTACATTTTTTTTTTAACTAATTACTCACTAATCTGTTAAAACCATTACACCTTAATATATATATATATATATATTATTTATTTTTTGGATCAGTTATTAAATTAATTCTAAATTTGGTAGCAAAATATTCAAATGTGTAACGGCCAATGTTGGATCTTAAAGTTGATTGGCACATTCAGAGTTGTAACCGTTATATTTGGTTGCATTGTTGGAAGAAAAATATGATTGACACATACTTTTTTTCTTCTAAAAATTAGAAACACCAATAATTTTTTTATTAATGTTAATTTTCTTAATATATGTCACAAATATATGATAGAAGTACATGTCTACTTAATAAATACAAACAAAAACGTGTTTTATATCTGTGCAAATGCACAGGATCAAATACTAGTATATTTATAAATATTAATGTATTAAGTACAAGTTCAAGTGTTGACCAATGAACTTGTAGCTTGGTAAAGCTTGGTTGTTAATTCTTGAACAATAAATATAAAAGAAAAGAACAAATTATGAAGTGAATTAAAAATAAAACTACATGCACCATGGCTAGATGGATGGAAACCAAATAAAAGAAAGTATCATCAACTTTTATTTTTATTCATTTTCTTCTTATATGTTTATTTCATAAAGTTTTGTTTGCTTACGACTTATGAGAGACGTATTAGAAATAACTAATTTTACATCCAATGTAAACTTTTTATCCAAAATTTGAATGAGGGCCTAGGCCCCCACTGGACTCAATGTAGCTCCACCTCTGTCAATATTATCAATATAATTAAATAATTACAACCAATCACTCTTACACATCACATCAACTTTAATTTACTATTAATTCGATCACATAATTTTAACTTAACTATCACTTTACATCATCTCTCTCCTACTTTTACATCAGATCAACTTTAATTATTTTGTTCTAAATATTATTTTGCTATAAAATCAAAATCTCACTAACAACTAACCATATCACTTTTCAAAATTAATTATGGTTAACCAAAAAAAACTCATTTTGGGCGGAATATATTTGTATGCAAACACGATAGTCTCAGATGGAAACTCGAGTTTTCTATTTTCGGTTTGGCATTGCTTGATCGTGTTTGCCATAAACTAGTTCGAGAAATCCACTTCCTCTGGAATATATCGTGTTTTCTCAAAGGAGCGTGTGTTGTTTGAGCAGATTTTATCAGATTGTACGTTGCGGAAAGAAAGAATAATACGGCAAAATGCATGCATCGACTAATTTGGACAGACATCGACTAATTTGGACTGAGAAAGTGACGCTATGGTAATGGAAACTCACCTGTCATGACATACTCTGGAGCGGCATAACCGAACGTACCCATAACACGGGTCGACACGTGAGTTTGATCTCCTGTGGGGCCCACCCTTGCCAGTCCGAAATCAGAAAGCTTTGCGTTAAAATCCTGCAGAGTTTTTTTGATTTTTTTTCCACTGTTAGCCACACATCACTGTAAAATGGGATTTGTGCATGTAAAGAATACATCACCAGACAACGAAAATTTCTAAACAAAAAAATGGCTAAATATACAATTGTTTGAATTTCTTCATAAGACCGAAAGATCAACTAACCCCATCGAGCAAAATGTTTGAAGTTTTAAAATCCCTGTATATGATGGGTTTCTCCACACCATGAAGAAAAGCGAGCCCTTTTGCAGCATCCAAGGCTATCTTCAATCGTTTATGCCATGTTAAACTGGCACGTACTCCTACAAAGCAATTAACACAATAAAATGTTAAACGAGAGTAAGATTTGAAGGACCACTTTGCGATCTGAAGTTAATATCATACAGAAGTAGTAATTGCAGCCGAATGATTTGGACCAAAAGCTGCCTCCAACAAATTTCTGTTTTCAATACAACTAGATTTTATAGCCATATAAGTCTAAGTTGAGCTTCCATTTATACCTGATTTACACTTACCAACCTCCTTCTATGCTCCACTAAGATGGGTTTGGAGAAAATTCCATGCATATTAAGAACATACAATTGATATAATTGGATACAGAATCATTTCCATATTTTACCTACTTTTCCTTGCATTCTATAGGCAAAATTAAATTAAAAGTAAAAAAGAATTTTTTTAGGAATTAGGGAAAAAGATCTATCTTAGAGGGACATATAAACATGTGCGTAATAAAGCTCGTCCGAGATGGCCATTCACTGGCAACCTATGGTAATGCCAAAAGTAGCCACGTGAAATAAATCGGAGTATGCCAGTTTACTATAAGATGGTAACTATTTTCCACAACTTGTATATAAAAATATCAGTTTTCAGCAATGTTACATACTTAAGAAAAGATGTTTCTCCAAGCTCCCGGATGCCATATATTCATAGACCAACAGCCTATAGTCCCCTTCACAGCAATAGCCAATCAGCTTCACCAGGTTAGGGTGTCGAAGTTGACCTAAATAATTGACCTCTGCCTGCAATTTTAACACCCTAATGATGAGAAACTGATTGCACCACAAGAATTTAAATGGAAAGTAAATAGAGAAGTATCAAGTAAACATATTTCAATACGATTTCTCTGTTTCAGACTATGAAACACAAGTCATTGAACTTCTCAATCTTCCCCGAATCATATAAGAGTGTGATTTGACACAATATCAATTTGAAAAAAATTATATTGGTGGAGAATAATACGGACATTTTTTTTTAAATGATTGATGGGTTTTCAGAGTGTTAATGGACACAAGATGGATATATGTGATTGGTAAAATTTATGAGAACAAGTGTAACAATGATCAACGATTTGATATGGAAGAAGAGAGTAAATTATTGATTAGTGTTGGTATTTTAAAAGAAAACCAAACCAAAACTCATTTCAAATAGACAATTCACATATTTGGTAACTCTTTTATAATCACAACAAAACTTCACCAGCCATTCCTGGTCCCCTTGTGAACTATGGGGATCAAGCTCCTTGATAGCAACAGTAGTTGACTTATAGCCAGGCCTCACATTATCGTCTATAACTCCTTTATAGACAATACCAAAGCCACCATCACCAAGAACTTGATCTGGCCGGAAGTGTTTGGTTGCCAATTTCATCTCTTCATAAGTGAAAATATCAAGATCGCCATTCCCGGGACTTTGACGTAAATCTTTAATATTTCTGGGTATTATCACGATTGTGTTTGAACTCCCAGAGTTCCCTTTCGAATCAGACCCTGAACCTCCATACAAGCCTGAGTGCAGCAAAGTGAATTAAAATTAGCACATGGATTGGGTCTTAAACTATACTTTGCAATCACTAAAAATCGTGATCGTCAACTTCTGGCCAGAATCCCAAAAAGGAAAAGCTTTTACTGATTCAGTACAACTCATTTGAAACCTAAAAGTACGGAATGGTGTGCTTTTTTTATATATCTTAAAAATGTTTCAAGTCTTACTTCTATTTGCAAACTACCGCCAGCTTTTGATTCTCGATTCACTTCTTTTAACAAAATAAAGGAAATAATCTTATCAGGTTTGTATTGTTTCCACATAATAACTCCAAAAACATGCTGTAATTATAGCTACAAGATTGTTGAGTTTTTCAGAATTTCTTTCTCATTCTATAAGTGCAGTTGACCAGCATTGACCAATTATTAGAGCCTGGGAACTTTCATATCATGTCATTCATGTCTTCTTCTCTATCAGATAAACAAAACTTTCCAAATCTACAAGACAAATTTTGGAACCAAAACTGTCCACATACACATAACTAAAATTATTCTATGAGTAACCTCAATTTTGGCATCCACTGACATTGGAAGCCAACGATTAAGTATCAGATTACATCAAATCTTTTCAGTGCCTGAGATAGCATTTCAAAACTCAAATCCCACCACAACAAACACATCAAAGTGAAAAAAGGAAGAACTGGAAAGAATGCTGCAAGCACTCAATCGGACAAACTATTAAGATCGTAAAAAACGAAAACAAAAACAAAAATAAACACAAAAAAGCATGTGTAGTTAGACAAACCTGTCTTATTGTTCGAAAATTTGTTCTCATCTCCCTCAATACTCAAACAAGCCCCCATTTTTCCTCACCTGGCCCAACTCAGATTCAACTTTCAACTTCCATAGTTCTACAAAGATAACTTATAAACCAAAACCCGTCGTTTTTCCCCTTATTTTCACTAGTTTCAGTGCATTAAAAACCTGAAAACGGAGCACGGCCGGCAAGAAACCTCCGGCCAATCGGAAAATTCAAATGGGCCGGCAGAAAATTGGAAATGTTGGCCGGAATCTGATCGGTGTTCTCGAATGAAGATAGAAAAATGCAGTCTTGCATAAATATTGTCAAGAATAGCACAAGAAGCAAGTGGGCGATCACTGAGTATATAGGTGTATATATGTCGATTATTTTACAAAACGAAACGACGCGAGTTTGGCTATGGGCCTGTTGATTTGACCATATTGCCCTTCTTTTTCTTTTGCCTTTTTTATTTCATAAATTCTTTGCATGTACATATTTCATGCTCAAATGTTATTATATTTAAGTACTAATACAAATAAAATTATACTAATTCATACGATAAATATGCATTTTACATAAAAAAAAATATAGTAGTCTAATGGTTAAATATGATATAACCGTGTGTAAAACACATCGATGTTGAATGGCTAGGCAGCCTATATATTTATAGCATTTGTGTTTTTATTTTTATTTTTACTAGCTTTATTAATTCGATCCTGAACCTCAATTCCGTTAATGAAATACATATATAATTTAATAATTGGAGCTTGAAAAATATTTAAATATTAATGCAAGACTTGATGTGTTAAACTATCAATTTAAGAAATTAGATATAATTGTTAAAAATATAAATAAATAATATTTGAATATAAACAAAAATTTTAAAAAATAAATATATCAATAATTTTTTTGTGTGGGACATCAATAACAATAATATAAAATTTTATAAAGAAAAACATATATTTGAATCAATGAATAAATAGGAAAAAGATTTCATATTTAGAGTCTTTAAATGAAATTTTAAATTTTTTTAATCCGTAATTGCTAGATTTAATTTCTAACTCTGAATTTATAGTTCTCGTCTTTCAAATCCCAAACCGATAATTTAAGATATTTTTTATTTAAATTGATACAATTTATTTTTCAAATCTCAATTGATAGTTAGCATATATTCCGAGACTCAAATTAATAAAACACTTTATTTTTATTTTTCGGTAATTAATAATTTCCTTTTCTTTGGTGGAATCTTTTGTACTGTGAACGCATATGCTCTAACAGTGCAAGTCCAACTCATCTATTAAATTTTAAATAATTTAGATTATTTGGTAATGACTTCTGCCTTGATTTTCTCTTTATTTTAATAGGTAATTTAGTGGGACTTTACAAATTAAATGTAATAACTTGAAAGTTACGTAAGTTAAATTAAAATAAATAAATTGTTATAATTTAACATATTAGGCACCTTTTTAGAAGACAAACTGTTCCAAGTTCCAACTTACAACACGTGCATGTGTGGATGACTTTTGCTCATGCATAGATTGATGTGTTTTCCAACATTTTCAATTTTTCATAATGAGATAATCATATTTTTTTTAGAAAAAAAAAAAACTTATCCTTTTCCTTTTTTATCTTTTAATTAATGAATTAATAAATAACTGTCTGAAGCTTTTATTACTATTTCAACTATAAGCACAATCATAGGAAACAAGTACGCCCACAAATTTGGTGTTTCAATTTCAACTATAAGCACAATCATAGGACACAAGTATGTTCACAAATTTGGTGTTTAGTCTATTTTACAGTTTGATGGAATGTACATTTTCTATTAAAAATAATAATTTTTCAAGAAAAATGAAAATGTTGTCTTTTATACAACCAAAATTGTCAAATACAAACTAGTTTTACTGTTCATAAAAAATATTATATAAAGTTAGTGTGTATATATATATATATATATATATATATGAGCATCATTTGGTTAGTAGAGGAACTGAAGTCAAAATAGAAGACAAACCCTACTTTAAAGGTTTGATTACTACAATTTTCTCATATTATTCTATGGTTAATATAGTTTTCGGTCGCTTTTCGATTAATTTTTGTTCAAAACTATGATTAAAAAAAATCACAAATGCTACTTTTTGAAAATAGTATTATACATATATATTGATATATTATTCTTGAATACCCAAAAATCTCCATACATTCTAACATAAAATACAAACCTTTTAATTAATTTTATTTTATGCTCGTAGTAATAATGACACGTATTATGAGCTGATACCATCTATTCATTATCCGTCTAACAAGTAACAACCAAACTAGACCAATGATAATAACAGGTAACTTTAATGGAGGGATACAAGACTTTGTATTGGAATTTTACGATTGTGGACAATAAATAATGTAGATTTGTAGGTTTATTATGTTTGCAATTACATTTAGGACGTGATTTCAAATTGTTTGTCCTAATTGGTCCACCACTCATATACTTACACAACTTATAATGTATTTTTTTAAATCATCTTTTTGTACTTTTTAAAATTAAACAAATTATTGTATTTGACAGTCTAATTGTTAAATTAGTCAACATGTCATACTTATTAATAAAAATACATACTTACACTATCAAATGTCATATTTTTATTTATTTTTATTTTTAAATATAACATTTTTTTATGGTATGGATATTTGTGAAAAGAGCATACTAATTAGACACGAAACTTATTGTTTAAGTTATTGTAAGCTTATGAGTTAGTTTAGAAAAGGCTTACTTTGAGATTGTATTAGTATGTCGATTTAGATATGGTAAGCTAACTAATTATTATCTCCCCACAATTTAAGAAGATGTATTCAATTCGGAATTTAAGTGACATTTTAAGACTTTTTGAGATTTGAGACTTTCTAGGATTTTCAGATTTTGGAAGAATTCTATGAAATCTCAAGTCCGGAGGTAGGATTTGAAGTGGAATTTCATATAAGGTTTTTTGTTTAGAAATTCCACAAAATCTTAAAAAGTCTTAATAAATCCTAGTGTCAAAAAACTTAAATACCTCAGGATTTTGTAAGACTTTTGAAAATCCCAATTGAATACCCCAGGATTTTTAAAAGTTTTAAAAAGTCTTAACAAATCTAAATTGAATACACCGGGATTTCTAAAGTCTTAAAAAGTCCTTAAAAATCCTAATTAAATACACTCCCCTTAGTTCATGCCACCCGCATGGGTACTACCCATTTTTAGCAAGAGCCAATAAGGATAAGACATGTGGCAAATTTTTGACTATTAAGGTGCTATAAACACACCAAAGTTTACTATAGGCAAACCAAAAGAAAAATCTATTTAGGAAAATTATTAAAGGCAAATAATTATTAAAGAAAATAATTATTAGAAAAAATATTTTAAAATTATGAGTAATCCACCAAAAGTCTCGGAACAAATAGAATCACTTATAGAAATAATAAAAAAGAACCCATTAGAAACATTTAGAAAATTAGATGAAATAAAAGAAATAATAAAAGAACTACAAAATTTAGTTCAAAAAGAAGAAATATGGAAAAAAGTATTTAAACCAATTCAGAGAGAACCACCAACAAGTTCTAATGGATGATATAGATAGATTAACACGGTTATTAGAAAAATGCAATATTGAAGAAACTAGAATGGCAAAAATAGATGATGAAGATAAATAAGGAATAGTCTACGGAATAGATAGTGAAGATGAAGATGAACCAACATTTAACACGACTGATCAAAAACCTCATACAACACTGCCATTATCACCAAAACGACCTAGAACAAATAATAATGAAGCATCAAGTTCTCAGAATAATTATGTAGAAAGCAGTTATAGAGATTTTATATATAGAAATGATTATAGTTATCATCAAGAAAAAATAAAGAAAAATATTCCACCAACATATTTAGAAAAAGAAAGAAATTTATCTAATGGAATATTAAATATAGATTGTGCAACTAATGCAGAAGATCTAATAGTCACTTGGACAAATCAATTAAAATTACTAGTTCAAACTAATGACCTAATGATAAATGGAATGACATTAATCGATTTTTACAATTATATAAGATATAAAACATCAGGAGTATTATTTGATTATCTAGAAAATACTCGAATTTTATTAAATCTTGAAGCTAGTGGTTCAGAAATAGGAGTAGAATATAAAATATCAGCCTTAAAAGAATTAGCAAAAGATTTATTAAAAGAATTTTTGGGAATTACAGGACAAGAATTAAAAGAGACGCAAAAAGATAAGGTAGTCCGATTCCTAACAAATATGAGACTATGCAATATATGTTACATAGAAAATTTTTTCTTTCAAGTAAGAGAAAATTTTTATAAAATTAAGGACCGGTCGGGATTAATAGAAATAGTTGAAAGTAAACTTAAATATGAAATGAATAAATATATTCAAAAGAAAATCAATGAAACAAAAGAAGAAAAAACTCTAGGAATTTTAGAAAAATATGCAAAAGAATATAGAGATGAACTTTGTATAAGGAAAATAAAACATCATGAAATGACTAAAGTCGATTCAAGATGTTGCAAACAATTAGAAAGTGTACCACAAGAATTTGGTTGTTATAACCCATACAAAAAGAAAAGATATTATAAGTACAATAAGTTTAATAGACGATATAGACCAAGAAGATATAAGACATTTAGAAAACCGTGGAAAACAAAATATAAAGGAAAATTTAAAAAACAAGGAAAATATTTAGGAAAACCTAAATATTGTCCTAAAGGAAAAAAGAATTCCAGATGTTGGAAATGTCAATAAATAGGACACTATGCGAATGAATGTCCTAAAAATATACCAGAAAGAGAAAAGAAGTTAAAAATGATATTCTCTTTAGGCTATGAACCGATAGAAGAAAAATATGAAGAAGGTGAATTATTAGATTTTGATATATATGACTTAGAATCAGAAACAGATACTGATTTATAATCCTCTGAATTAGAAGATGAGTAAAAACAGATCATTTATAAAAGTTAAATTATTTAACAAATTTTTACTGGCATATATAGACACAGGAGCAACGATATGTCTAGCAAAAGAATCCATATTACCTAGTAAATATTGGAAGAAATTAGACAAACCAATTATAATAAGAATTACAAATAATAAAACAATAAGTATAGATTATAGGGCAACAGATTTAGTATTGTTAATAGAAGAAAAATGATTTCCTTTACCTAGTCTTTATAAACAAAATACAGGTTTACTATTAATAATTGGAAATAACTTTCTTAAGTTATACAGTCCATTTATTCAAAGATTAAATAGTATAAGCCTTAGAT